CCTGGTAGCTTACCTGGTAGAGCTTGTACCACATATCAGTGCTGACTGCAGTGGCCCGGGTTCGAATAAAAAACAACTTTTTTTTTTTTTTTCCCCGTGTTTACTATAATGTAGCTTCTACCCACTAAACCTAGGAATGTCTACGTTAGGGCTGCAACTAATGATTATTTTCATTAATGAATTATTTTCTTAATTAATTGATAAATCCTGTGCTTTTTTAAAATTTCAGAATTATGAAAATTAGAATGATGAAAAACAGGCCTGTGTCTTACATATCCTGAGTTTTGACTTATCCTGAGTTGGAATTGCCATATAAAATAATGCACAGATGATACTATATGACAAATAAAATAGAAAACACACTGCTTCTCAGATGCTTCAGTGTAATGATTATCAGCTTTGCTAGCCAGTGTCCTCCTTAATTTTTTTATGTACTGACTTACTGAGACGTCAACAGGACATGCAATAGGTCAAGCTGATAGTGAAGGAGGAGCGCCCTCTGCTGGACCACAAGATAAACAACTTCATTCTGTTGGGCTTATAGACTGTACAGTTTGAATTTGAACAGGTTATTGCAGTTTCTGTGTAAAATCTTGCTACATGTTTTAAACAAAGTTTGACTTTAGAATAAAAATCTAGAGCCCTAATGTAACTTTAAATGTTAACTGGGTTTCTTGTTTTTCTACAAGTAAGCATGTGTATGAGAAAAAGCTAAAGCACAGCTGTGACAGAGAAGTAGCCTCTAGCAGTCTGTTTCCACCACTGAACATTTAACTATTTGTGAAATGCACACACGTTCAGACTCATACAGTTGAAACAAGTAAGCAATGCTTCCAACATATGTTAGGGCTGGGGGATGAATCTGCTGCATGTATACGTGGATTTACTGTAACCAGGCTACATGTAAATGTGTTCTCCGACTACCTGCGTAACCTGTTTTCTCTGAGTGCATGTAAACAGAACACAGACCTGAGACCTGTGGCAGTAGAACGGGCAGTAACACCCTCCCCTGCTTCTGTTCCCTCAGTCAAGTGGATCGGAGTGGGAAAGTCTCGGGAGTCCATGATCCAGCTGTTCTAGACGAATGGAGGAGAAAATCAAGCAAAGAGGATGCACAGCAGCAAATCAACTGTACCCTTCTCCCCCTCCCCCTACATACACACAGCCTACCTACCTGTCTCAACTCTCCAACGGAGATCATCATGTCTGTTTTTAATGCTTTACCAGAGTGTCACAGCGTTACTCTCTGGATCAGACTCGAATCAGACTGACCTCCCTGTATGAATGGTTCCCAGCGTCTACATCTGGATTTTAACAGTTTTAAACCTTAGGATAGCAGTTCCACAGTCAACTCCCTCTCTTTAATTTGTCCCCGTTTATATCGTAGCCATTTACTTCAGACATACAACACACTAGGCGACACCAGCTGCCATCGTGGTCTGAGAGGACATGAGGGAATGGACTCAACACACACACACACACACACACACTGACGCAGACACGGGTTCACCGCCCAGAGGAACTATCCACAGATGTTTTGGTTGGTCAAACTTTGTTCAGTTGTATTTTTGTTAATCTATGCTGTGTTTTAAATGCGCTGTGCCAGTCTGGTGTAAATCAGTTTAAGGGTTTTAACCTCAGTACTTTAGATGCTTTGGATTATATCTGCTTTATGTTTTATTCTGCCGGGTTTACCTCAAATCCTGACATGATAAAGGGATCTTGTTGTATTTGTAATGTGTCTTTTTGTGATGGTTTTTTTTGTCATCAGACAGATGAGTAAAGATATCTTATATTGCCTTGTCATTCAACCAAACAATAAGCTTTTAAATTTCCTGTAGCTAGTCACTGCTTCCACTGAATGCTGTTGATGAAATGCTGATGCCCTTCTTCTCGTACTGTGAGAAGGCTCATGGTTTTTGGGTTTATTTTGGCAGGTGAGTTTTTCCATGAGCTGGTACAGAGAGTTTGGTATAACAAATGAAAATCAATTCAATAGGCCAGCATCTTTCTACTCACATTCTTCTGATTGTTTAAATTATTATTACCATTGATTTCTATGCACTTTCAGTACAATGTTCTGTTAAAGTGGAAAGGAAGGCAACGGTAACAACTTTTACACCAAGAGAAGTGTAAATACTGATTGATAAAACTGTATAAGAAAGTCATCTTTCTCCTTTTTTTGTACAGTCTTGTGCCATTACAGAAAAATAAGGCTGAAAGTTCCCCTCCACTCAAATATTAGTTTCACATTCATCTGCTGAAAGTGGAAAGTTTTTATGTGCTCATTGAACATCTGATTTTAAGGGGCGGGGCCAACAGTGTCCAGCAGGTACACTTTAGAAATGAACAAAATTAGGATATTCATAGATTCTGTCTTTTTTTTCAATGAGGTCAAAGGAATAGATGCCTTTTTCAGGGTTATAATGTGGAAATGATATATATATATTTTTTTTTATTTATTTAGAAAAAAACACATCAGACATATTATTGTGTATGTGTGTCTTATTTCGCGTCTGGAGGGGATCTTTAAATAAGTCTAGTCCTTGGTTGCGTTTTGCCATCAGAAACTATCTGGTTCTCATCACTGTATCAGCAGTTCAATGGCACCATTCAAATGAGCCAATCAGAGCTACCTGCTGGTGTGATGTCACAGCTGAAAAATGTGTCTGATGCATTCATGCAAAACCTAACATAACTCCGACTTGGGAGCGTTCACGCATTATTGTAAGACGATTACTCTGGCTCGTACTCTTATAGTCACATCATTTAAACAGCCTTAATCAGTGACTTTAACCGTGTTACATAACCAGATACATATACGGTAAAGCTCCTTTAAAATTCACTGACTCCGTTGTATTAGTGCTAATATTGGATTTTATTTAGATGTAACTGTCAGTGATGGTGGCTTTCCAGCCATTTTGCCATCAGTTTGTCTCCAAATTACAATTAGGGTCAAGTGTGTTTACTGATAATTAAGGTCCCAACAATATGATATGAATGCAGTATTATTCTTCCAGGTCTAAATCAGTTTAGAATACTAAAAGTTCTTCAGATATTTGGATTGATTATTGCTCTTCCATAAAGTTGGGGGACTATCAATCAGCAGCAGAGGCCAAGATATCCAGACGTTTCCTAGTATGGGGTCAAACTCCTCCAATGTTGAATCATACATTTTCCATAATGCTACTGGCTGACGTCTTCCGTTATGCCATGTTCACACCACATGGGAGGGACGTTAACGACTTGTCAGCTTTCACATGATCTGATAAATCAAGGTGGTTGTAGGATTACAGAATCTTTAATGTGAGAGTTAGAAACACTATGCATTGACAAAACACTATATCCATTAACACTTAACACCTCTGTATTTCATATCAGAGCTTTCAGAAAAGGCCATGTTTCCCCAGTTGTAAAAACTCCTTAGATGTTGATGTGAACACTACAAGTAATTATAATAACTGATATAAAATGAATGTGGCATTCGACCAGACTTTGGAAAGCTCCTCCAGAGCCACAGAAGACACACAACTGTTCACTGACTCCTTTAATGAACCCCTGATATCTTGTTTGAGTAGAGGTGGAGGTGGAGAACTAGAAACCAAACAGCTCTCTGTAAAAGTGAGAAAAGTGTTAGTTGAAAAATGGTCACAGATGTTTCATAGGCACAGCTGTTGTACCATAGCAGACCCTGTACGGCTTAATGTGTTTTTGTTTTTTATGTCAGATATTAGAAACTCAACCTGTTTTCCGTTGGCAGCAAGACAGTAACACATTGCACGTTTTTGGGGGTTTAATTCCAAAAGAACATAAACATGATGACATGAATGGATTTGATACCAGATATTTCACCTTCAGTAAACAAAGCAGTGAGTCGTCATGTCAATTTAGCTGGAGAGCGTTTTGTCAAATTATTGATACATGATTTTGGAATAAAACTCCTGTTTGTTAATTATATAAACTGGTATCTAGTCCACCTCTTCTCTGGTGACCTTACTGTGGCCACTCAGTCTGCAACATTTTTCTCAGGACATTGATTAAAAGGTGATATTTTTAAAAATGTATTATTCGTTTTATCTTGAGATTGTATGTAACTGCTGAAACCAGTTGTGAAACTCAACAAAACCCCATTTAGTCTCAACAACTCTTTTACATTTAAAACTATGTTGTTTCCTGGATTTCTGAAGAGCACTTTTGCGTTTTTTTAAAAGTAAAGCTGCTCCCATTTATAAAGAAAGTCATTTTCATACTGTACTTTCTTTTTTTATTGACACACCTGTCTGCCCCCCTTGTGGTGGTTGAGAGGGATGGAAATAGTGAATCCGGATCATTCACTCTCCTCTATCTGCTCTACTGAACAGTGTAAGTTTGGTATCTGTATCTCCTTATTTCCTAACAGCAGCAGTATGTTCCTTCTCTCTTTTGCTGTATTATAATGAACGTTTATCCCTTTTCGTGCTCACACTGCCAACTTTCACCAAATCCCCTTTCTCAACCTGAAACTCTGCGTTGTTTTTTTTCTGCTTTCCATCCTCCTTTCTTTTCTTTTCCTTTATTCTGAACATTCCCTCACTGCGCCCAGGTTGTTAAGGGCAGACTCCCTACCTTGACATCTGGTAAGACGAAATGAATGTTTTAGGCTATGTACACACAATATAAACAGGAAAAACCCTCAACACATATGTTTCTGTGTTAAAACTTTTGTTTAACCCCTTCACATGCAATTCCCCCTTTTATTTCCAGTAAAGTATTTTTCAGGTTGGAAAAGTCATCACATTTCCTGAAAATGTATCCTGACATGGTATTTGGTGTCTGTGGAAACTTTGGGATCTCCACTAGAATTTAAAATAAAGTTCTGTGGGTTTGAACAACGTTTGGCTGCAGAGTTTGTAATATATTTAGAAGGATCTTTTGGCAGAAATTGAATATAATATTCATAGCTATGTTTTTTGAGTATATAATCACCTGAAAAACAAGAGTTTTTGTGTTTTTAGAATGAGACGTTTTTATCTACAAAGGGAGCAGGGATTCTGGAGGCCGCCATGTTCAACCACCATGTTTCGGCAGCAGCCCAGAAAGGACAAAGGCCTTTCACGTTTTTTATGAATTTTGTGGCCACTCTAGTTTCTCCTGGAAGGTGAGGGGTATTGAGTTGGTTGCAATCTGTAACTTCACCACTAGATGCCACTAAATCCTACACATTGGTCCTTTAAGAGGTTAAAATACACATATTATTAGCTGATTAAACTCCAAATGTCAATTACAGTATTGTATTACTTTGTGTTGTAGAAGAGAATTCGGTATTTAACTTCAGATTTCAAATCTATTTTCATCTGGTGTAAATTTGTGACCTTTTAAAAACCAAACCCTAAAGTTTTCGACTTCAGATACTTGAGACAGATTTCTTTCTATTATCACTATCAGTATATCTAGCAAACTAACCATTAAAGACAGATCGACCTAGCTATCAAGGTAGCTACTGATATATCTAACACTAACTATCGAGCTAGCTATCAAGATATTTTAACTATTGAGCTATCTATTGAACTAGCTAGCTAACGACATATTTCTAACTTTCAAGCTAATGCAGATATTTTAATTATGGAGCTAGCTAGCTATAAAGCTGGAGTTTAAAGTCTAATTTAGCAAAAAAAAGCTTTTCTTGATTTAATACATTTGTCTCTGATTAATGCCGTTACATGGTTAATGCAACACTCTAAATAATTCTTTCTTTGAAGAGGCCTTTTTCACAGCAGACATTTTCATGACTCAGTAGGAAAAGCACAGAGGTAATAACATTAACAATGTCTTCTTTCTATTCAAGCGTCCCAGCAAGCCGTGACAGTGCAGCCTTTATTAATTTTATTATTTACACCTGGGGTTGTCCTGCTGTGACACGTCAAAATGTCTCTGCAAAGCTTATTGTGTTGTAGAACTTCACACCATAAAGATAAAATGCTTTAACTCATTCAACTCATTTTACTTTCAAATGTTGTTTTCTACATTGGGTTTGGCAGATAAGACTTTCACACAAACACGTCACTCCCACTGAAACACAGCCTCAATCAAGTATGTAGGCCGATGTTTGTTCTAGTATTCATCCCGATCCCGACGTGTTAATGAAAGAACTTAATTTGTTTGTCAAATATGAGGGCAGATTAATTCTGTCTGGCCTACATACAAAATAGGTGGTCAACAGAAACAGTGAGCAGTAATAGAGTTTAGGCTATATTTGGCTTTATATGTCTGTTTGGAGGGAAGTCGTAATTCATCTCTCTAGATATATTTCATCAATTTACTCATGTTTTAGGATCAGTTATAATCCATTAATAAGAACTAGTCTTGAGTTTCCAGGTTGTAAAAAGTTTCTACTTGGGAATACCACTATTAGAAATGTTGGTAATAATTAATAGATTTTATACTTTATAATAATCCATAAAGTTGTCAGTTCTAAATGTTAAATAAATAAATAAATAAATAGAAATGTAAAAAGGATACATTTTTTGGTCCACATGTTTCCCACAAGGTAACGTTCAGTGGAGGGGCTTTTTTCTCCAATATATTTTCATAAATAGTGCAACACATGGATACATATTATTAATGTTAAAAACATGGAGGGGTCTTCTTGATTAATGAATAGATTATGAAATAGATTATCAAGAACTGTTAATATTACAAAAAATATTACACTTCATACAATTCATACATACGAGTTACTTTACAGATCCAGATTTTAAGTTAAAAAAACATATGATAACACATTGTTAAGATTGATCCAGTGCTCACTGCTGCCCAATCTGTTTGGCTTGTGACCCCTTACAAAACAACAGTATATACATAAATATAAATAATATAATATATTTGCGGACCTTTTTCAGAGGTCTATGAGCTGTAAGCAGTTCCACCAAAGAGACATTTCCCCACTAAACTTTATGAATTATTTCATTTCATTTACAGTTTGAGGCCCAAAGAGGTAGATTTATCCTTTATTTTACAAAAAAAATTAAAAATAAATTAAAGAAAAGTCTAAATTATTTAAATCTACACATACACATAAATTATATAAAGGAAGGTTTAATTTTTACTATATCTGTTAACATTTTCATTTATAATTTGTTAGGGTCAGTAATTAGGGACATGATTACAGCAGCTATCTTTCAATACTTTCACATAAGGAGGCTATGTTACTTCATGAGCACTAGAGGGAGGCATTTGACTATAAATGACTGTGAATGTTAAACACTTGTCAATGAACTAACAGTCCGACTAAGACTTGTTCTCTCCTCAGGAATCTTTTATGGACGGTATAGACACAGATGCTACAAATGGTTTTAAATACAGTATTAATCCACTGAAAGCCACACGAACCGATACACAGCTAAAGTCCAGTGGTGGAAAGTAACATTCATTCAAGTACTGTACTTAAGTACAGTTTTTAGGTACTTGTACTTTACTTTAATATTTTCATTTTCTGCCACTTTATACTTCTACTGCAATACAATTCAGTGGCAATTATGCTTTTTACGCCACTGCATTTATATATATATATATATATATATATATATTAATAAATTAATTGTAAAATATTTTTTAGATAATATGATTCACAAGTTACCCAGCAGTATATAAAGTAGTTAAAATATAAAAATATATATAATATATACTATATACTATATATTATATATCTATAATATGCAGATTGGCCCAAATTCTTTACTTTTGCTACTTCAAGTATATTTTGATGCTAATACTTTTGTGCTTAAGTCTAATTTTAGTGACATGACCTTTACTTGTAGCGGAGTATTTTGGCAATATGCTATTGCTATTTTTACTTAAGTAAAATATCTGAATACCACCGTTAAAATCTCTCTCTCCCTCCTCCCTGTTAGTGTTTGCTATTAATACTCTGCGACCACAGGTTGGCTTTAACCACAGCCTCACCTGCAGCTCATTTCCCTGCCTTCACCAAGCTTCCTCTCCCTATTTGACTACATCTGAATGCACCAACAACCCCTAAAAACCCACAAACTCTCTCACACACACAGAACTCACCCAGATGCCTTCAGCAACAGGAGTACAAAAACATCCTACCTGATTTTCTATCAACTGGACTGGCGATTGCGTGGTCTAGCAAACTCCACAGCTGTCCAGAGTGAGTGAGTGAATTGTCATCCTATTGAATAAACTGTGTCACCTTGAAGCACGCAGAAAAAACACACACACTGGCATCTGGCATGAAGCCTAGTCTTCCTCAATATTGTGTGACTACGTTGATGAGAGGCTGGACGGCTTCACAGCAGGCCGAAGGGCACCGCTGCCCCACCATTTGGGTCGGGGCTGCGCTAATGTTGTGACCAGCCACCACTCCCTCCTCTTTACCCCTCATCATCTATCACCCCCCCCACCCCCCCACTCCTTCTTGTACAACTCATTCAATCCTCTCTACCCTCCAAACTCAACCTCTGTACCTCACCACCAACCCCTTCATCCTTTCTATGCACTGCTCCCCTCCTCCCCTCCTTGAATTTGAATCCCACAGTGAGGCCTCTTTGTCCAATGGCTGCCACTGCATTGTGCTGCAAAGGGAAGCAGAGTAAATGGACAAGCAAATTAGTTTTCTCCTTCAGCCAACTGTGGTGTTAGCACACAGACACACACACACACACACTCACAGACACACTCACAGACACAGTTCGATGCACAAACCTATATGCACCCACACTAAAACATATATGGAAAGATACATAGCCCATTCAGGAAGACATTTTCTTTCATTTGTGTGTCCATGACCTTTGACCTGGAAACAAAGGTCTCTTTATAAAAGGGATATATAGCAGAGTGTGTGCATATCATCACATGCATCATGTCCACCATCACTCTAATTTTTTTTTATTGCTTTACTTTCACACTTTAATATGAACATTTAGTAAAACTTGTTAATTTAAACCTGCATTATTTGGTTTTTAGAGCACTTGGGTTCATTAAGCTGTTAACACAACGTTGACATTATTACCATATAAAGTGACGTGGCAGTCGTGGAGCAGCATTCATACTCAGTCA